GAACTCAAATAAGTTTGAATCAACAGATAATCTCAAACATAGTTGATTTACATTAAAAACACTTACATTTAATCTGAGTGTTATGCAAATTAAATTTTGTAAGATAAAATATATTTATCTATATGGGAAATAAACTCTTTAAATTTTGTTCTTTCTAATTTTTCCGTGTATTATAAAAAATTATGAATTTTTGAAAAATTCTAATGCCGCGTTTGATACGGGACAAAAATCTAGTTTTATTAACAAATTAAAGACAAACAAATCACAGATTTTAAGATCAAACTTCCGTATATTTGATAAATAACAAAATTTAATATAAAAGAAAGCTTATTTGTGATTGTGGATGACAAACAATGAAGAACAGAACATAAGTTTAGTGGTGAAGTGGCTGTGAATATGACTTGAGAAGAAGATGAATAAGTTTAGTTACTCTAATTTTTGTTCATTATTTGCTTCATCTTTTTTTTTTGGTTCAAGCATGTGGCTCTATTAAACTAAAAGAACTGTGTTTCTAAATCTGTCCCTAGGGTTACTATCTTTAACAAAGATTAAAGGCTTTAACATTTTTTAAAAAAAATTGGCCGTAGGCCAAAGTTTTTTTTCTTCCACGTAGCCATGGGCCTGCCTTCTGCATCAGATGGTTTAACACAAACCTTAAGGTCAACTTTTGTGCTATTTTAGGAGATGAAATGCAATTCTATTTCAGAAAAGTACGGTAGCCCAGGTTAAACCGATCATCACCTCAACAGAATTCTAATAAACTAGAAAAAATGTTGATGTTTTGTTCACAAGATGATACAAGTACCTGAGTTTTGTGTTGTACTCTTTTTCAGTACAACTTTCTTGTTCATCAACTTGAAGCGGCTAGTTCCTCACTCTTTTTTCTTTTTTCAAAAAATCCAGCCACACCCGCAAAGATGCCTCGTCCCTCCTTCGGTTAAAAAGTTGATCCTCATTAAAACGTTGTGGCTTAATCATTTTTTCTCGCTTAGATTGTTGCGTAATTACTTTTTCTTTGTTATTGATAGAAATAATGAACAAGTATTCTAAATGGATATATAATTATTCTAAATGGATGTTGATCTAACTTTCAGAAATAATTCCAGCCGCTCCCGCACCGATAACTTTTGCCTTCTGAGCCGCACCGGCACCAATAACAACGGCACCAGCACCAATATATTTTGCTTTCTCAGCCGTACGTACCGGCACCGATAACTTTAGCCTGCTCCCACAACTCATATGGTTGCATTGTTGTCCAATTTGAGCTTCCGACATCATTGGATGGCTTATTTACTTCTGCTTCCGCCGCTATTGCATCCTCGAGTATGTCAACAGATTCATCTATCTTCTTTAGCTCCTTCGTCATTTCAAACTTATTGAATTCTCCCGTCACCTTTAATTGACCTTCTTCCTCGACTTTTACCGAAGTAACTCCTAACAACATCAAATATTAACAAAAATTATTTGCTTTTAGTCTTACTAGATTGAATTCTTTATCTTTGTATTTAAACTGAAATACCTGCCAACATTGATTTATTTTGTTTACTATACCCATAGATTTATGTTGGTGTAAGGAAAATGAAATTTTCCCAATTATATGGTCTTATATATAGCTCATATATTTCTCTAATAAAAGTGTTATTCTTTAATAACATTGGTAACTAATTATTAAGAAGTTTTAATTTCCTAATTAAGAAAAACATGAGAGAGATAAGTGTAAAGTATTAGAGACATATGGCAACACTAATAGYTAATTCATGACATGTATTTAGAGCCATACTTAACACTTGTCTTACATGTTTTAATCTCTAACACATGTAAAGTATAAGAGACAAATGTGTAACATTCATGGCTAATTCCATGACATGTATTAGAGGCATACTTAACACTTGTCATACAATTTTTAATCTCTAACCATGATGGATGGTTGAGATCAAAACCCTACTGAGGAATTAGGTCCTCTCTCCTCCTATAAATACTTACCTTTAGCCCATCATAAAGGTGTGATCAAAGTGAGAAGAAAAAACACACAACACATAAGAGATATGTTTGTAGGAAAGGGGAGAGAAAGCTTAAGTCCTAATCAAATATCAAGGCTTCATCTTCTAATCAAATCAACCATATAAGGAAGATTTTCTCATCATGATGAATGGAGGTACTCCTTTAACTCTTATAATTCTATTATGTAATTAATCTAGATGTTTAATGATCTTAAGGTTCATGTATTATTTGTTCATATGCATGTACTCAAATTTTACATGCATGTTGATTTTATTTAACAGTTGGTATACCTGAAAACGCCCATAAAACATTCATGGCTTTCTGTTTGATGCTTTCATCAAAAACTTTAAACTTGAATACTACTATTAGCTGCAAATTAGAATTTCATGGTATAAGCAATAACTTATGGAGA